ACAAATCTGACAAAGAACATGCACCGTGACTCATTACAGGCCCACTCACATTCTCTGAATGATAATGACTCAAAACAATGTTGGTTCATGGTAATTAAACTGTTATCTAAACATACAGAACAAACATCTAGTTGTGTTGTCAAGTCTCTAGAATTAAAGGGTTTTAATTTAGAAAGTGATAGAAGTGAAAAAGATTAGAGTAGGTCAATGAACTATAACTTACCAGAACTAAACATTCTACCAAGCATGGTGTTAGGATGTGCTGTGAACTGAGCTGGGTCGACAACGAATCTTGTGTTGTCCACCACCAGAGTGATCCTGTCATCCATCAGCTGGTTCTTCTGGCCGTTGCGAGGAGGCTCCTGGGTGGAAGTAGACGGCGTGGGCACGTTAGGGCTCTGGTTCTTCGGAGGCATTCTGCCGCGGATACACGGGCCGTTGCGCTTCGATAGACGCTTGCGACGCTCCTCCGTGTCCCTGCGATACTCTTCTGTGTCGCTGCTACTGTCAGGATAGAAAAACGGACGTCGTTGTTCTAACATGCCGTTGGCCTCGGGGCCGTTCGCCTGTGAATCAGACATAGGCGCGCGCTCGTCGCCGCAAGCCCTCACATCACGATCCACGCTGCTGTTTCTCCGCGCACGGAATATGCGAGACGATTTCGTCGTGGAAAAACCTTTTGTTTTTGTTCGAGAGAAAGGACGTCAGCGGGTGCTTCGTAGACAGTTGGATAATATTGCCAGTTGACATAATTTTTTGATGTCAAGTAATTGTCAAATTTTATGACTTTTTATTTTTTTATTTTTCATTTTACGAAACAATTTTATTGTGATACGACTTGCTTTTATCACTTTAATTATTTTAAATATTATCCAAATTAATTAAGTTGAATTTTAAAAAATTTCTAAAATATGCTAAGAGAATGTTGAATTGACCGTTACACCGCAAACAGCACTGCATCAACATTTTGCACGTTATTTGCAGTTTATATCATTATATTACTATTGTTTTGTTACGTTTATTCGAACGTAATTAGAAAAAAAAACCCTCCCAATGAATCGGTTGTTGACCTTACTCTGTCAAAATGCGGAAATTTTGGTTAAAAGTATAAAATAGGTTTAAAAATTAATGCATGGTAATATTTAGTGAAATTTTCTGCCATGTGTTATTATAAGTATTGTTTAAGAACCACTTTCGCGCGGGTAAAGTGACGTGATATATATGTGATAATTAATAATACGTAAAAACTTGTTATTGTACAAGGCGTTTGCATTTTTATAATTTAAATTTGTTTACAATGGAAACTAAAGAAGAATACCATGATCCTGATTATCCTGAAGCTTCTGTGTCTACCCAGGAAGGGTCCTCAAATTTAACAGAAAAGGAAAAGATAGAAAAAATCAAAAACATAATACTAAGAGAGTTTGGAAATGAGTTAGAATTAAGAGAAAATGAAGTCATGCTGGCGAATCAACGGTAAGCAAGTCTTTATTTATGTATGAGAGAATAGAAGATTCTTTCTTAATATTAAATAAGAATTCTATAACTATAACAAACAAGTTTGAATAATTCCACCTCTAGCAACAGTACTATAATCATGTGAAGAACAAAAAACTTAAAACACTGCTCTTTGAGTAATGTTAAATAAATTTTGCTAGATGTGCATACAATATGGATATATGTATGCATTTTCTAAATGTTAGTCTAAACAACATGTGTCATTATAACTCAAAGAATAAAATAGTTATCTTTTCTATATAAAGATTAGGAATAAATATGTAGTCAAATGCTGCAGTGTGTCATGTCTCCTCTTGTAATACTTTTTCAACATTCTTATATCTTTTATCTCTTTCTCACTATTCCTTAAATGATCTATGTTTCAGTATGCAAAAGGCACGGCGGGTGTTATGTGAGCTGCGCTACCAGCTGGTTCTGCGCTACTACAAGGACCAGAAGTTACAGCTGACTCCTGTCCACCTCCAGGATGAGGTGGTCGCACAGAATGAGCCCCGCACCAGGACTGAGGTAACAATGTGATATTAAAGAAAGAAATGTTTCTTAGAATAGTGGCTGTCAAAATTCCAGACAAAACTCTTATTATTTTATTACCAGTGGCTAAGACTAAATCAAAATATTTATATAACTGTAATATAAGAAACATAAACTAAAAGATAATTTATGAAACATCACCATTTAATTTAACTTATCTATCATATATTTGAGTGAGTAGAGAGATTAACATTTGTGAATGTGTCATTGTGTCAGGTGACATCCCTGCTCAGAGATGGTCAGCGTCGGATCCACCCCTCGCTGCGGAAGTTACTAGGAAAGAAGTCTGTGGACCTGGAAGAGATCTTAAAGATCAGGGAGCCTAGAAAGAAGGCCAAGAAAAATTACTCGGTAAACCATGTCTTTTTTTATAACTATATACCTAACAAAAAGCTTAGCTTAGTGGGGTGTTACTCATTGTGTTGTTTGTTCGATACGATGTTCAGCCTAATGGGTAACACCCACTCAAAATGTTACTTGCAATGATACAACATATTGATTTATCACAAAAGATATTTAGAAACTTTTTATTGTCAAATGTTTTTGTTACTCAAATGAATGCCATTTTGACAGGATCAGATAGAATAAAATTATTAATGTACTTATTTAATGTAATATTTGTTTCAGGCTATGATACATAGTCGTAACTACACCGTAGCAGCTGATTCCACAAAGTCCCTCCGACCTGAATCACACAAACCACCTGAGGAGAAACCTATGATCCCTGAAGAATCGGAAACTATAGACAAACCCAAGAAAATACCACGCCATCTGGATCCCAAGGTGGAGAATGTGGTGACTCTGGTAGAAGCCACCAGGAACCAGGTGAAACACCGATACAGAATCATTATAGGTATTATTTTTTTTATTTTTTTTTTGACACAATTGACTCACATAATGTTTTCTAATTCTATTATGAACTTTCGCATTTACAATATTTGTAAGATTTAATATTAGTTATATTTGTAATTTGCATGTGTATGTGTGTATGTCAGGTAACACATCAAAGTACGCTCCGGGCGCGTCGTCAGCGGACAGGTCGACGCACACGTGGCTGCTGTACGTGCGCGGTGCGGCCGCCGTGCTGCGCGCTGTCGCCGTCCGCCTCCACCACTCCTACGCCCCGCACCATCTCGTGCGCATTGAGTTAGTACTACATAAGACAAATAACAACACCTCACAGTATTTACTTTGCATGAAAATGTCACTAGACTTTTAAAGATCATCAAATAGCAACGATCTCTGGCCACAGGCTATATAAGGATTAATGTGAGTTAAAATGTTTGTTATTTGTAAATGTGTGTATGTTTGTGTCGGCAGCAAGCCGCCGTTTCAGGTGTCTCGGCGCGGCTGGGGCGAGTTCCCGGCGCGCGTGGAGCTGCACTTCGCCCTGCCCGCCCGCAACCCTCCCGCCGCCCTCGACCACACCATCCGCCTCGACCGACACCGCACAGGACTACAGACACTCGGTAAAACATAACATCAACATAACATAACTAAACACCAATGTAACATAACCAAAATATCAACATAACATAACTATATTTATGTCAGTAGTTATAAGTTAGTCTTTAACTAACAAACACTTCATATATATTTCAGGCGCAGAGACAGTTGTGGATGTATGGCTGTACAGTACTCCAGAAATGTTGGAACATGAATACAAAGAAGACATTCCCCCCAGTCTGCCGCTGGACATAGGAGACAAGGAAGACTCCAGTGATAAACAGACGGATGATAATTCCACCGAACCCACCGATGTAACAGATCAACTGAATGATACAAATAATTCAGAAAAATTAAACGACAGTTGGTTAGAATTCTTCTCAAAAGACAGCACAGAATTGAATGTAGATGAAATGTTAATAAAAGACGAAGATATTAAAAAGGAGGCAATGGATTATGAAAGTATAGAAAATAATCCATCTTTAGTTTTAAATGATAAATTAAAAATTGAATCAAATAGTGAAACATCCATTTTATACAATCAACTAACAAAGGAATCCAATAAGGAGGTTAAACTGGAACCCGCAGAAGAATTGCCAAACGAAATATTGAAGCAGCCGGAATGCTTTAAAAAGAGAATCATGAAATATATGGATCCAACAACAAAGAAAATATATTATTTAGAAATGGACAGAGAATTAGATTTGTCTAAAGTTCAAGAGATTGTTATAAATTCACAGGGTAATGTTAAAACTGCAAAAATCAGTCCGATTAAATCAAACGGACTGAAACATGTGAGGAAATATAAAAATAAAATGTCAATAGTCAACCATAACAATGTTAATGAAACTTTTAATAATTATTCTCATATAGAGAACGATCATTGTTATGTGAAAACATCTACACAAAATATCATCATTAAACAGGAAGAAATGCAAGTAGAAAATGATATGAACAAGGATATTCAGAGGCCTTGTGATGAAGGCAACTTGTACAACATGCTGTGTGCCGCTGTGTTAAGGTTCCCTTGTGTCAGAATGGCTGTCAGCTACCTCCTTAAGAAGATCCCTCTCATTACAGTCAAAGCGAAAGATCCAGATTTTGTTAAATACTTTCCATTTGTTGTTGAAAGTGAAGATATATATTGGAAGTTAGATTTTGCTAAGCGAAGAAATATAGAAGTAAGTAATATTAACTATTAATTAATATTTTTCAGCACTTTTCAACATATGTAATTTTACCTTAACATTTTCCAGTGGTCAAGAGCAAAGTTAATCAACAAGTTGATGGTACAACTGCTAGTGACGGATGATCAGATTTGGAGGACAAAGCAAATCCTCATTTACTCCAGACTGCACGGCTATCACCCCGTAAGGAGTGAGAGCATCCCGCAGCCCACTAGCCAGGACTGGTGGACCTCCTGGAACCTCACAGATACCCACCACACCGACACACTGCCAGATAGTTCCTCAAACTGGGAGTTTAACTCATTAACTATATTTAATGGTGATGAGTTTGCAAACAGTTCCATGTCAGAGTCAGTTATATCAGAATCTGATGAAGAAATAGATATAGTGAATAGTGGTAGTGCAGTGAAAGTGAAAAGTGAAGTGATTCCAGAGACTAGTTTGGAAGTGATGCCCGTGGAGAGTGAGGAGGACAGGCTGAGGTTCCTGTTTGTGGAGAAGAAGTGTGCGGACATTGGTATAGAGCTTAGGAATGAAGATGTGGGGAATGGATACTCATACAGGTTAGCATCTAATGTGATTATAAATCATTTGACAACAAAATAATCTGCATAAAGAAATATTGTTTTGATTTCACCAGTTTCTGGAGAGCCGTATTGTAAGATATAGATTTAAGTGTATAATGTAAATTGTATGTATGCTCAGCGCAGTGCACGCGGTGCTGGTGAGCGCAGTGCGCAGCCTGGCCGAGGAGCTGGTGCGGTCAGCGCGCGCCGCCGCACTCGCCCCGGACCCTCCTGCACCACCTGCACTGCCCCACGTCTGGACGGGGTCAGTACTGAAGGAGATATTATGTTATTACTAAGGGCTACAAACTCTATGACTGTGTTTTTTGGGGGAATGTGTAAGTAAAAACACAAGCGGAAGTTGCATATTAATATTAGATGATATTTGGTTGTATGTTGTTGCAACGTTTTGTAAAAATCCTAAGTTTGTGATGTAATTCCAGGTCAGGGCGCGTGGTGTGTGCTGGCGCGCGCGAGGTGTGCGCAGGCGCGCGTCGCTCCAGCCGGCTGCAGGCGCTGACAGCGCGCTGGTTGGCCGCGCCGGCCCGGACGCCGCACACGCTATAATAAATGCTACACAACAAACAAAAACTTTGTTTTTCTTATTCTACCCTTTGTTTTGTCGCACTTTTGCCTTTGCATTTGCTTTAGGTGACTCGTCAACCCCTTATAGTACAAAAGCGCGAAGAAATTTGTCTCATTTGACCATTTCTTTTTTAACAAGTGTTTGTAATACAAAATGATAACTAAGAAAATAAAAGTAAAATTTTCTTCAATATTTTTATTTCTCAAAACATATGTGTGATCTGCATAAAATATATATAATGTATTCAACTTTTTCATAAGATCCAAGTATTTTTACATGAATCTAATATCTAACCACAATATTGCTTTTCACTTATACGATTTGCGCCTCCTTACGTTTGGAAGTTGAGTGTTTCAAAACTTACGTTCTAATACAATTTACAATTAGGTTATTCTGTCTGCGTCTGGATCACATTTTTATAAATGCAATTAAGTAACTTGTCTTAACTTCATATGAAATAATATTAGGAACATATTTCTAATAGCAAATTGAAGAGTATTTTTTTATAATTTACTGTTAATTATTTTAGATATAAAAACATTAAATAGAGAAGTTAATTTGTTAAACTCGTCTACACAATCTTTAAACTTGTAGTTAATAAGAAAGGGCCTTTAAGAACATTCAGGCGCAAACCATAAATAAGATAGAATTATAAAGCATTTTCTATTCACCCAGATTTTGGTAACACTTCAAAAAAAAGGAAAATAAACTAAATCACCGCCATAGTGCATTTGCAAAATATATGATATCGAATTTCTAAATTTTATCAAATATTTTCAAGGAGTTTGCCAAAACCGATGTAATCTATTAACAATTGGAAGAATAAAATGTCAGGAAATAAAGTCTCAATCTAAAACTACAATTGTTATTTAACTTAATAATAATTTAAGATATATCCGAACATCCCGTGACTACGTACATAACATTCCCCATGTTAGTGTGGGTTTACACTGACCTGACACATGTACAAAAACAATTATATCTTTGTTTGACAACATGTTTTTATACAAGTGTTGTGATAATTATAACTCCGAGTTAAATGAAATAAAATTGACATGAAATTATTTTTAAAATTTGCTACTATTTTTTTGGAATATCATAAAGTTATGTTATATTAAAGAGATACGTCAAAGTTAATGTATAATGAAACATGTTTTTTCTTTTGCTTTTTACATAAAGATTTAAAACAATATTAGTTATTAATGTCCAAACATCAGTGACAGATATTCATACAAAATAAAAGAGTATTGGATGATTTTGTTTTATTTTAGTAACAGCTTATATCGACGTTAAACTTTCAAATTCTAAACTAAAATATATAAAAGAGATATGACTCTTGTTTAACAAAAATTATATTTACATTTTATTGCATTTCCTAATTACAAAAAGCGCGAAGTTTACTTCTACAACTGTATTTAAATTTGAAATAATAAATTATATGTTATACTCATTTTGTTATAATATTTAGTTTGATATCGCGAGTTGCTCGCAGCGGTCGACAGATGTCGCTGTGTCGCAAACTTAAACGACGCTATTTTTTTAGTATATGATTTAAAAAACATCAGAAAATAGGCAGCTTTTTATACATCATTGCTTTTATGTAATAAAAAGGCAAATATCGATCATTTTAGAGACAATTTGTTTATAATGAAGCACGGGGGCTTTTCAATTAGTAATTTTTACAGCATTTTCTCATTGTAGTTTAATAATTTTTTGTCAGTATTTTAAAGTGTGTGTTGTTTGAAATGATCCACAGAAGGTGTTCAGGAGTAAGTATAGTGTGTGCTAGGCGGGGTGCGGGGCGGCGGGCGGGGCGCCCAGCAGGCCGGCGGGGGTGGAGGCGGGGGT